AAGCCCGTGGGTGACTGTTCGCAATTTTTTTTTTTTTTTTTTTTTTTTTTGCTTACAAAGTAGACCTGTGTGTGTTAAGAGACAAGAACGATGGAAAGAAGATACTGTACCTCTCAAAGAATCGCTAGATTGATGGGGGAGAAACACATTATGGACGATGCAAAACTTCTCTTGTTATCAACTTCTGTGGACAACATTACTGGCATGACTGTCTTTCAGCGGCCTCCGCTGGCGCCAGGATGAAATAACAGCTTTTTTTTTTTTTTTGCTTTTTTTCTTTTCTTTCTTTCTTTTTTTTTTTTTAAATGAAGAAGTCAACTTTTCCTGTCATGCAGAGGCCATTCACCTCTCTTTGGTCCCAAAGGGTGCTAAAAAGGTTACGAGCTTCTATATCGAGCGTTAGGAGCCATTGATGCTGGGGACGATACAGTGTCTCACACGCCCCTGCAGCTACAAATAAGCGGTGCGCAGAGTGTTCTGATATGTGGCGGCGGGTTACTTTATACATCTGAAAAGAGGGGGTGCCAAAGCCCAGTCAGTCACAGTGCCCTCAAGCATTACCAAGCTATATCAGACGGATGAGGGAATTACTGCTCCCTATTTATATTCAGCCATAGCGCTGTCATCATCAGATTGCTGGGGCTATTATTTCAGACTTTAGAGCAATTATGTTAATGAATAGTTGGAGAAAAAGGCTGACTTCATTTGCATTTTCTAAACAATATCCAATAAAATTATGTCTATCTATCTATCTATCTATCTATCTATCTATCTATCTATCTATCTATCTATCTATCTATCTATCTATCTATCTATCTATCTATCTATCTATCTATCTATCTATCTATCTATCTATCTATCTATCTATCTATCTATCTATCTATCTGTCTGTCTGTCTGTCTGTCTGTCTGTCTGTCTGTCTATCTATCTATCTATCTATCTATCTGTCTATCTATCTATCTATCTATCTATCTATCTATCTATCTATCTATCTATCTATCTATCTATCTATCTATCTGTCTGTCTGTCTGTCTGTCTATCTATCTATCTATCTATCTATCTATCTATCTATCTATCTATCTATCTATCTATCTATCTATCTATCTATCTATCTATCTGAATTTAATTTTTAAAGTATTGGCCTACATTATCAGACGATAAACAACTACAACAACGTAAGAGTAACAAAGAATTTTATCTGATTTCATTCAAGTGTCAGTGCACTGCAGGTGCTTCTCACACTGACGTGCACGTTTCCTGCGAACATCTTTGCATCGAGTCACGTACGCAACATTTCAGCGTCCAACAGCAGACCATCCGTCCATGCGTAAAATGTCCAAAACTCATTACGGAAGGCCTTTGAGCTTGACACACCAGTCGTACTAATCAAAGCAAACACAATCTGGGCGATTAAAGGTTACAGCATTGGGGTTATTTATTTTTTTTTTTTCCCCTGACCTAAGTTCTGTGTTTCTGTCTCATTGCCTCCTTATGGTGTCTTTTTTTTTTTTTTTTTTTTTTTTTTTCAGCTACGCCGCTTATCAGTTTGGCTATCTATCACTTGCGCTCAACAAAAGCCCTCAAGCATCACTGACGCTGTTTGACTCCACCGCTTGTCTTTGATTTACAGCGTTGAACGCTTTGTGGAAATAAGCGGGGAGTGAGGAAATCTCTGGGGAAGAGTTTAAGAAAAACAATAAATTATCCGTGAAAATTGTTCGTTCTGCAAAAAAAAAAACAATTATGCAAGTGCATAATTGTGAAATAATGAATTTAGTAAATGATGCATGTAATCGGTTAATTGAAATTAAAATTTAATTTGTAGATACAGCCGTACGCGCACAAAGAATAGTGAAAAAAAAAAGATGATAAAATCAAAACTCCTCAATTAATTTTGTTAGGCCAGCGGTACAATCACCAACATCCACTTTATTGCGTTTTGATCCAATTTCAATTTTGTCTCATTCAGACAAAATTGATCAGAGACAATCCACGCAAGGTACAAATTGTGTAACTTTAATTTGCAATAAACTGCAACTATAAAAATAGGTCAAGATATGAGTTTCCATGCTTTAAGAAAACATTATTCGCAGTCGAGCAATTACTGGATTTAAGTCGGTTTACCTGAACATGAATGAAGAGGCTTTGGTCGAACGATGAGAGAAGGACACACGGAGTACAGAGAAAGTTTCTCAAAGTAATCACAAGTTTCTCTGGAGAGGATCTCGTCAATCATAAAAGTCTTGTAGCGCCTCCTGGCCGCCTTCAGCTGCCCGGGGGAGGAGAGCCTCAGCTCGGCTTGACAGTGCATGGCGTGTCCCCTGTGCGCTCTCTTTGCTGGTACACAACTTAATCTGTCTAAGTATACTGGAGCCTGTAGGTTTGAACGTCAGGAAGAAAAGCGAGTACAGAAGTTCATGCGTTCACAGAAGTCATTATCTATGTCTGAAAATGCGGCTTTTGCTCTTCTTCCTCGAATGTGTGGCGGCGAAGATCCGCAGCCTTCAACTTGAGCTGCGCAGGACGCCTCGGTGGTAATGCGCTGCGCTCACACCCTCTGCTATATAAACCATCCGTGTACTCATCTCAATGCTCCTATTCTCTCTCTCTCTCCTTTCTCTCTCTCTCTCTTACACATACATATACAAGGACACATCCCAAACACTTCCACCTCCCTCTCTACACATCCACTAAACAACATCGAGTGCATATTTGTGCTTATAACTTAAGCACAAAAAATATTTTCTGTAAACTAATGTTTTTGACAAAGTGATCGAAAATAAAACTGAAAGGTGAAGGAAATATAAGGTATTTTCAATAAGGGGTGGGTTTCCAGAAACCCACCGCTTCTAATAAGAGCGTCGTTTGTCTTGTTCCAAGTCTGAATATATAGCAAAATAATTAATTAGTCTATTTTTAAAATTATAGAATATATAATTTATACATGAGTTAAATCAGGTCCGTTTTCAAGTATCCACATGTGAAAAAATATTATTGTTTGACTGTTTTCTTGTGATTCTTTGATTTCATTAATTCTTTCTTTATTTCGTTCCCCGTTATTGTGCAGTCATTAAAAACATTCGTTCAAAAATAATGTTAGCCAATAATAAAGAAGAAATAAGAATGAGATTATTGTTATTATTGCTGTTCGTCTTGTTTTTATAATTGCCACTTGATTCACTACCACTGTAGACCTACTTCCCAATGATCTCACCACGGAAATTGCGGCAGCTGTAATTTATTATCAATCAGTAATTGCGCGCGCATCTGAACGAACCCGAACTTATCTTTCTTAAACCTTTAAAATATTTCCTTTTTCCTTTTTTTCTTTTAAAGTAGTCTATACTAAATCATATAGGCTATATATATATAGCCTATATATATATATATATATATATATATATATATATATATATATATATATATATATATATATATATATATATATATATATATATATATATATATATATATATATATATATTCGCCGAAGTGAAATATCTATTACACTTCTAATAACAACAATAATAGCCTAACTATAACAATGGTAGAAATAATAATAATATAATAATATTATTATCAATAATCATAATGATTTCATCATCGTCATCATTTTCTGCCTAAGCCTAAAAATGTGTCTAGACTTGAAAGTGGCTGTCCGACAGCAGAAGCACATCTCACTCAAATCACCGGTAAAGATGTTTGTAGACCTCGCGGATTGGTCCTGAGAGGACAAAATATTACTTGATCAAAACGACTTAATACACAAATAATGACACGAGTCACGAGAAAAAGATCAATAAAAAAACAATGCAAATTTAAAAGCATGCTAGCAAAAAAGAAATAATAATTAAAAATAACGGGGAATAAAAAATCCGGCTGTTTTTTTTTTTTTTTACCTCGTGAATGTTTTGGTCAGTAATTCAAGCTCAATTATCTGAGACAATGCATTAACCCCGCGGTACAGGAAGCGCTGCTTGAAGGAATCCTGTCACTTGTTATCTGCGTTGCGGGGCTCCTGCAAAGGCAGTGAGCGGATAGTTTTCCGGGGGTGTTTAGAAGTGGGATCATTTCAGGAGCCACGCTTCTATTCAGGTCCGAACAGCAGCGGTTGCCGAGTGGCCCCCTAATCTTATTCAGCCTTTCCAGGGCTGGAGACGCCATGCAGATCAACCAATTAGAAGAGTTATGCCACAGTCAGAAGCGTAATGTGGATCTTCCTGGTAGGCCTACCGACACCGGAGAGGATACTCTCTATTGGAGCGATTTGGGAGTATCAGGAAGAAATTTGATACTAGAGCAGATTAGAAGGAAGGTAGTTTTGTTCAAAGGGTGAAAAAAAACTACACACCCTTTGGAGTGCTGAAAGCGTATTATTAATAATAATGACAGTAAAATGAAAACTGTCGGGCAGACTTGGTTCAGATTTGATTATCAGTTAGTTTTAAGCAACAGGTCTGAGGCAAAAGGCAGATTGCAACATGAAGCCCCATGTTTCCAAGTGTTGCTAAATTTGGGATGGGAGTGAAGCCAAACATTTTCCCTATCCGTAAACACCCAAAACCTGTGCCATTTTTTAAAGCGTGTTGAGAAAAGTGGATGGGACACTGCTCAGCAAGAAATAAACCTGGCACCAACTCCGTGTTGTCAAGTTGAAAGAATGGGAGTCTGATTCACGTTAAGACTTGAAAGCATCATAAATAGTAAGGTCAAACGTTGGAGCTGATTATGTAGCTTGGTTATATTTAACATCTTAATTGATTCAATAAATGGATGTGTGTGGCGCCACCTGTAGATTACTTCAGAACCCGCCGTACAAGCATATTAGTTACACTTGGTCCATTTATAGGCGCAGATAAGGCCATGTGTGCGTGCATTACAGCGTGTAACCATCAACATACAATATCCTCTTTATACACCATGAGCTGTAAATAGCCTTTACGAACAACAACAAAGACTCAAAGGCATGTGTTGAAGCCAGATGAATAACAATGCAGAAGTCAAGTGAAAAGAGGTTTATAGAGAAAATGTTCACTTTAAAACATGTTTTACAGATTGGAGTTTAAAAAAATAAAACCCACAGAAAAGTCAAATGAAGCCCCTTTTGCTGGAAAGAGCAAGGTTGATCTACACATTAAAAAAAGTTGGTGCCCTGTGTTTGCTTTAATGTTGCTGGAGGAATTTATAGCTAAAGTTGATATTCTTTTCAGCAAAAGTACCTGAAAATTGTTTACATTGTTAGGAGCACCACATTGTACCATAAGTACAATTGCATAACACAAATCTGGTAAGTATATACTTTTTATGTCATTTTTTTTAAATTTATTTTGTCATTCAAGATTCACTGCCAGTCATGTTGTAACTGCGTCTGCATCACAATCACTTTCAGAATATTCAGAACAGCTGAGAAAAAAAGTGTCACATCAAAGAAAAATGTTCAAATTTAAAAAGACCTTTAAAAAGAGGCCTTAAAGGCATGAGTTATTAAATCCTCAAGTTGGTGAGATCATTTACAAACAACCTGAGTATATACACAATGATTTTTAACCTAATTCCGATTTTCCTAAAAGAAATGTCCACAAAATGTGAAGAACTGATTTTTTTTTTCATTGTTTTTTTTCACAAAGATGTAACTCAGTAACGTCGCCATCTGTGAACGTACTCTTTGGGGCCACGATTGCCAGCCCGTTCATCACGACTGTTTCCACCTCGGCTGTCGTGGTATCGGTTGCCACCACTCCTGTCATTCTGGTGGTGATAGTTCTCCCGGCTGTGGCTGTGCTGATGACGACCAGAGCCGTGCTCATCCCCGTGGCGCTGGCTTCTCCCGCCGCTGTTCACCTGGGTTCGATCATGCCTGTAGTGATCGCCGTCCTGCTGCCTCAACTCTAACCCCCTGCCAGAATTTCCAACAGCGGGTGACTGCCGGTGGAAAGATTTGGCAAAAGCGCCGTTAAGCTGCTCGAGCTGCTGCATATGGAGCTGCCACATGTTGTTCCTCTGTGGATGTAGAAAAAGACAGGTTGCGAGGCATAACTTTTTTTTGTTTTTTGAGTATTTACTTTCTAGGCCGAGAAATAGTGTTACCATGACATGCTTCGGGAGATTATCAGGCGATGAAAATGACCTCTGCATTTGGTGTGGAGGCGTGTATGGAGGAGAACCAAACTGGATTGGCATCCTGTAAGGGATTAAAAACAAATTGAAAAATGTTACATTTATTAAAAAAAGTTTATACCAAAACCCTTGTTTTTCACATTTTCATTTACATCACTACCACTCTCAAACAAAAAATATTTCAGTAGTGCACAAACGCAAGATTTACATGAAAGATATTTCAAACTAACTTTAGTTTCTTTATGCAGAAAATAAAATTTGCCCTTGAGAGCAAGATCTTGGTGAGTGTTTGCACATTTGAATGGGTGAAGTTCAATTTGGTCCTCACTTCCATCTTCAGTGGGTTATTCCTTTAAACTAATCAAGACAAAGGATGAAAGCTTCACAATTGACACAATATGCCAAGTTATGACTGTGCACCGATTCTGTTTTCATTGCACTTTTGTAGCAAACAACAAATCTATTTGCTGAAAGTTCTGTGCAAGAGGTACTGGTTTCGAATGAAACAGAAATAATTAAAATATTACCATTTATGAATCACAAAACATGTGTAACTTTTTAGAAATTGTTTTTCTAAACTCGAAGGTCCACCAAAGACCATTCTGTTTCTAACAATTTGGTTAACGAGGGGAAAAACCACATCGACAAGTGGTCAGGAAAAAAAAAAAAAAAAGAATCAAGGGAAAGAAAAACTTCCTTATGAATGACCTTATGACTTGACATAAAATGTATGTTGATATTGGTGATATTTACTGAGAAAAATAAAAAAATCTGTGCACATATTTTCCTCCAATAAAAGGTAAATTGTTTAAATAGCAGGAATATATATATATATATATATATATATATATATATATATATATATATATATATATATATATATATATAAAATTTTAGCCTGCTATGCTTTTTTTTTTATCATAATTGCTTCCAGAATTATTGCTGAAAAACAGAATAAGTTGGAACAAATTAACCTGTAACTGGACTAACTGAAGCTAGTTAGTTACTTAAACTAGATGTACTCTTTCAAAAAAAAAAAAAAAAAAAAAAAAAAAAAATATCCAGACAAGTGTTGATTACAAGTATTGATATTAAACATCAGTTGCAGACCAAACTGTAATTTCTTCCCCGGTAATAAATAGATAATAGTTGATATGTTTAACTGTAAGCACATAAATGAGTCATAATATATATATATATATATATATATATATATATATATATATATATATATATATATATATATATATATATATATATATATATATATATATATATATATATATAATATAAATATAGACAATTTTTATCAAATGTACAGCATAGGTAATTTAAGCAACTGAACACAAAGAGGGAAGAAAGAAACTGCTCAATATGCATACTGGTCTATGTACTCATGTACTTATGACACATCAGCAACGCTGGCTCAGTTACTGTTCCACTCTTAAGAGGGCAAAAAGGCAAGTATGATCGATGGGCCTGAATATGTTCTTTATTTGGATATTCTATCGAGTCATTGGACTTAATCCAGAAAGATATCACACATTGCACAGCATAACCACCAGACATAAAAGGCGAAAGTGAGTGCAGAAAGTTACTTTTTTTAGTCCACCAAAAATTTCTTGCAAAATGTTTCAGGATGTTTCTCAGAAGGTCTCAAAACTCAAGGCATCTATACATTCAATTAATAAAAAAAGAGATTAAAAGCAGAGTTTCTACAGGTTTCACCAACTCAAACTGATGATTTGATGTTCATGTGAAGAGCAAACTGTTTTCATAATTGTACATTTTGCTTTCTGCAGTAAAGTTTGGTTTTACAGTCTGAGCCCAACCAAATATTCGGGCTGAAACTTGTCAAAACCATATCCTTGATGTTTGGGTAGGTCTTCTGTGGCGCATTTTTAATAAGCCTACAATACATACAGCACAGTGAAAATTAAACAAAACAAGAATGCATGTTGTTCTTATTGTTGTATTAATCTAATTTTTAAAGTCCAAATATATGAGTAAAGGCCTGCCACATTAACAAATTTTGGTGAGCGATTGTCTAAAAAATTATTGCAATAAACAATAATATTATTTGAAGACCTTTTTACACTGATTTAATGGAAATGTAATAATACATGCGATTTCCTGCTAAAGATAAGTACACTTTATTTTCAAAAGAACACTTAACACTGGAACTGATAAACAAAATAAACTAAACAACCAAAAACAAAAATAAAATTGATTGTCCGTCTCCATAAACAAAAAATATACTTGAATAAAATCTAAACAATATAAAGCTGAAGTGGAAATAAATACTGCATTCAACTAAAAGAATGCATTTTAAGTCTTTATACTATATAGTAATCATTGGATTTAAATAGAGAAGAGGGGCATATCCAATTACCTGAGGCAATCGTTCAGCATGATTTTTTGCCCCTATTTTCCCCTTACGACAATCTTAGAACGTTGGGCGCTCTCAAATTGTCACTTGCAATTTCGTAACCGATCATCCTGTGTGTGTTCCCGACTGGGAGTTAACGCAGTGACTGTGACAGGTAGCCAATCAGAAAGTGTGGATTCCCCTCCATGCTTTCTGAGGGGACTTTATGGAGGGGAATCCCAAACAGCTGAAGTCCAGTGGAGATGATATGTGGAAACAACATTAATGTTAATTCAACATTTAGTGTAAAAAAGTATAGAAATGACGAGAAGAGGAGTTGGAGCAAAATTGCTGCCACAGTAGATAAACCTGGTAACTTTTCAGCTATTCTTCATTAACATTACATAAATAGTTTATAATGATTTTTATTCAGTCAGGACTGCCACTAGCCACATGCACTGCAGATAGACTGTAGTAAAGCATTGATTAATGCCTATAGTACATAGGCATTAATGGGTTAGAAATGAGTTAACTGGACTTGTAGCCATTATTTTGTGCTCATTGTTGAACACCACAAAGTACGATCGAACCCGATCGAACCATTATACCTAGAATTTCTGTTGGCTAATGTGTGGTCACTCAGGTTACGAAAAAGGCCTGACAACTCTAAGATTATGTAGTGTGCACTGGATATTACACTAAGGAAATGAGGAAGGGAGAGGTCAGTGGAGAGCACCGGAGTTGAGTTGAGCCTTTTTTCATTCAGTGTCATCAACAGAAAGAGAAAAAGGCCGGAAGAAATGATAAAGCCGATAATTAAAATGAAGTCAATAGTTTTAATTTATTGTGTGATTAATTGATTTATTAATCTAGACAGGTCTAGATCAGTAGGTAGTTTACCCTGATGAAGAAAGAACGAATGTGCAGAAGTTAATTAGACTGAAACAAGCACAGCACACTAGCCCTGCCCAGTTCTGCTCACATCCTTCACTCATCCCAGAAGATTTGCTATTGTCTCGCCCTGTTGTTATAACATGTCACAAAATGGAGCTGGAAAATGTCAAACAAAATCTAAAAATCTGAGAAGTTACACGACTAAATCAACAGAATGCAAAGTCAGAGCCCTGGAAGTATTTTAAACTGGTTGTTGATCTCAACGAGACATGCTTTGGCTTCAATGAGTGCACAGAATGTGTTGCTTTTCTCCCCTATGTCAGCTTTACTTTGGGCTGGAACCTCTAATTGAAGTCAATTAGAAGGGTTGGATCTAACCCTTCGAGTCCGATCAAGCTCGGACACAATATCTATGGGCCTGGGGCAGGTCAGATTCTTTAGGCCCAGTCTAAACTTTACTCTGCAGGAGGAGACACCACAGTCCCCAGTGATCCTCTTAAACATCGTCGCCTCCATCTTTAAAATAGGAGTTCTTTTTGATAATTTCACAACAAATGTATTCATTTTCTGTATTTGTTTTATTTTAATAAGAGGGGTGGGGAATAATATACAGGGCACTTATGTATTCTTACCTTTGGCCATGAGGATTTGGGGTATTTGCAGGACTAGAATTCTGGGAGTTTCCTGGACTGCTATGACTGCTACCTATGAAAAAAAGTGTTTTTTTGAAAAATGAAATGTTACATTCTAGGTTTATATTTTAGATTTATCCCAAAATGTTTTGTGCTGCTTTATATTTAACAGAGAAAATAATCTGTACAACCTTCTGTCTACATTTGTTTTTTAAAAATGTTAATGCTTTCCAGTACCAACAAAGTATTATATTTTGGTAAACTTTAGTTATTGAGAAAAAAATTTTCATTTAAAGAAAATTACCAGGCAGTGAAAATCTGCATACAAATCACAATAGGAGCGCTCTCATTCAATAGTAGCATTAATGCAATTGGTGAACATTGTTTTCAGCATCCCCAGCCAAAATTTAATTCACCACATGTTAGGAGGCATAAAAGCTTCCTCAGGAGAGGGTTTTAAACCAAAATTAAGAGATTAATCGGTGTTATGGAATATTAGCGCACTAAAAATGTCAGATTAATCATAGGTACCAGCAATTTTGTCCATGAGTGTATGATATATTGAATAATGTTACATTGAATTTTGTACTATTATTTCTACAATAAATGAAACTGATATTTCTTCTCCAATTTAGCAAATAGAAATAATTTCCATAATTCTAGCTGATCTAAAACATGACAGGTTTATTTCAGACAGTGAGGGAAAAAAAGCATTATTACTATGTGAATTTACACAAATGTACATATTTTTATTCTTATGCAGACATATGATCTGTGATTTTGTAACATTCCAAGTATCCTTACTTATCTGCATAAATTAAAGATATTGAAATGTAACTATTTGTAATTTGTATTAACTGACTTAAAATGTAAAATTATTTACTAAGTTGTATTTACTCCATCTATTAAAGATGTGAATTAATGCAAATATCAACAGATTAATTGTAATTTGTTGTCAATGACTGGGATGTTAAACGAATATCTTAAAAACAACCGATTCCTCACCCGTTCTGAACTGGACTTGGATGGTTTTCCCATACAGCGATGCCCCATTTAGGAGTTGCATGGCATAAGGCACGGAAACCTCATGTTTATAAACTGCAAAGCCAAATGTTTTCTGTTTCCCATCCGAATCTTTAGGGATTTTAGTTCGGATGAGCGGTCCAGCCTGCAAACACAACCACTTTCTGTCACAAACAAGGCTGCAAAAACGTATAAAATACACGCTAACAGAATAGCTTTAGTGTACAAAATAAAAATGTTAAAAACAAAGAAAGCTTAAGGTAATGTCATGTTCGTAAATTACGACTCTGGCCTGTGTCCTCAAACATTTCCTCGGGATTAGCATTAGCCTGCCGTTATAAATAAACAGGACATCTGTTAGCTTGAAGCTAACAACAGCAGCACCTGCAAAAACAGCTCGAACAGGAGTTCCTCCGTAACTCTGGTGTCTAAGTTTCTTATGAAGAGAGTGCGATCCGCTTCGTCTTCTATACCCATCGTACTTGGGGTGCGAGTTAAACTTTTTATTAAAACAAACAAACACAGACTAGCATGAAAAACACCGTGGCATTCAAAAGTAAGCACCTCTGTTTTCTTCTTCCTGAACCTACTGCATTACGGAAGCATTACTGCCACCAACTGGTAAGGAGTGTGGACAACATAACAAATAAAATAAAATAAAATAAAATAAAATAAAATAAAATAAAAAATAAAATATTATTTCATTTATGTATCATTTATATTTTAACCATCACTTTTTATTTGTTCAGTTTAGAGTTTCAAGTGTTACTTGTTAAAACTGATTTTAGATGCACTCTTAAACATAGAGACGTAGAGTTTACAATAAACATGTTTCCACCACATCTTTCCACTGTTGATGTGAGAAGTGGTCATTTTGAAAGCAAAATCAGCCTTCCACTTGACAAATGTGGGTTTTCTGAATTGTTTTTATTTTTTCATTGGGGAATCCGACTTCAAAGGGCGTTCCAGTTAATTTTTCTGACTGGGAAGTTGGAATTTCCCAGTTCTGAATACAACTGGAAAGCAGCATAATCCTTCCTTTTTCTACCCCTTGAGCCTAAAGCAAACCAACATGCATACCACTGCTTAGTGCACTGGAGTGTGTAAAGTGAAACCTGTGTGCCAACACACAATGTTTTAAAGGGGCAGTATTATGTATTTTCCAGGGACATAGTGTCAGTTTATAGCAAAACTAATGTTGCTTTCAGTTGCTATTGAAAAAGCTCTATATATCAAACATGACTTAAAAGAATTCTGACTTCACAATTTAATCCCTGAAATTGGACCTCTATCAATTAAAGAAGCTCCTGCTCTTTCTGATTCTCTGCCTTTTGGATGTCATCACAGCAACTTTTCTCCAATAATCCTTTTACAATATTTTTTTACCAACATTTCACCAAGAAGTTGCTTTTGTGATGAGCTCAGTGTAATAGAAGTTCCACAAAGTTTTTGCTGCTGCTGCTTGTCTGAAGAAGCTGAGCAGGGGATTCCCAGAAATTGGACCATGAAATTTAGAGATTGTCTTCTGCTGTCTGAATGAGATCTAGGAACCCTGGTGGCTCAAAGGTGGAGACCAAAAGGAGGAAATGGGCTTTAGAAGTAGATATATGTTATGACAACTGAGTCTGACTTGACTGAGTTAAGTGATTATTCTCTTTATAGTGGTTATTCTCTCTTTTTTAGCCATCACCTGTAAAAAGAATATAAATATGACATGTTCCAACATGTCATATTTGTAAAGCTTTCATATTAAAGCATGTTTTATTTTAAAACAAGCATTATTTTGATAAAGCAATTTCTATGTTTAATCCTTCTGACGATTTTTAATGACTTTGCCTTGGTGTTTTTCACTGAAGAATTTCAGTGCTTCTTCATCTGTCCATTCATTCATCCATGCAAACAGTGACTAACTGTATTGTCTTGACAGCTTTTGATTTTGAAAGAAGATCTAAGACTTAGCATTAGACACCTAACTTCATATATTTAATGAAATCAGGAACAACTCGGTGTGTTCTGTACATTTAACACACCTGGGCTGTAAATGAAAAGTTTACTGTGTAAGGTAGATTGCCATTTGGTTTGTGAAAAAAAAAAAATAGGAATATTGTTTATTCCTGTAAACATGTATAATGAGAGTAAAGATTGAATTAATGGAGCTTTTCACACCACATGGTGATTTATATCATCCAATCATTCCAAAAAGATTGGTAGCATTTTCCCTATTAATGCTGTTTATCCCTCTTCTCTAATTGAAAAGGACATTTTTATTTCCATAAATGTTACAAGACTTACAAAGGTTAAAGTCCTTAAAAAAGATTGTTTTGTGCTGTTTTAATCATTGTTAATGTACTCTCTTTACATGTAGAAGGCATGTTTAACCCTGTTTTAACCGCTTTACTATCCTTATATCTAGCTGTCACATTATTTTCTTTTCTTACTTTTTAGTTTACCCTGATTGGGTCAGTTTCTTAAATTGTCCGGAATGAAGTGCCTCTAATCTCTATGATGTGTCTGACTGTGGAGGTCGAGCGAGCAATTTTAGAGGCTTTGGTCTCAATGTTATCAGATGGATTCTCATGTCCTCCATATTAATTAGATCAATTTGTCTGGTAATGAATTTCTCCTTCATGCCTGAGAAACATCTTCACAGTTTCAGCCATGGTTAGGTGATATTGGGGTAGTGGTGCGTGAGGTAATATTAGATGCAAATTAGGCCGCAGTGAGAACTGTAGCTCATTTCCATATTTTCTGGTTTAATTTAATATGAAACATCAAAGTGAGGGGAATGTAACAGACATAAGGTGTAACAATCTACACCTTATGGTTACGACATATGTTTTACATGAAAGGCAGAGTTTTGATTGCATTTTTCATATGGCAGTAAACTCCCCAGTGCAAATGGCGGGCTTAGTTGTTAACACATGCTCTCCAATGCAACAAGATGCTTATAGTTTGATATTGTCAAAAGGAAGCAGTAAAACTCAACCATAAAATTCACACTTGTGTAGTACTGCAATGAAAACTCTTGAATCTATTTTTAGGTCCTATTTAGTTATTATTCCAAACATTTCCCTTCTGTCATTATTCCCCTCGATTTACAACTATGAGGAAGGTTTCATGGGAGCTGAAAGAGAATAAAATGGAGGACGAAGCAGACAGCGACATTAAGCATGTAAATATGTAATTGTTCTCTTATACTGAGAGTAGAGTGTAGTTAAAAGGATTACCAGTAGGTGGTAGCATTGATCCGCTGACAATGGAAACACAGTTCAGGGAACATGAGACTTTTTCTGAGACTTTTTTTTTCTTTGTGATCCATCCATCCATCCATCCATCCATCCATCCATCCATCCATCCATCCATCCATCCATCCATCCATCCATCCATCCATCCATCCATCCATCCATCCATCCATCCATCCATCCATCCATCCATCCAAACAGTTTTAGAAATAGCATCACGGCCATTATTTAAATAACTGTATGTATCCAGAATAGACTTGAATTTTTCTAGCAAAATCTAATGAAAAGAAGCAGGACTAAGAAAATAGTTTTACACCACACAACTGTTGTGGCTCAGTGGAATAATCTATGAGATGTAATTCCTCATTCTCATTGCTACTTTTTATGCGGAATAGAAGCGGCAATATAACAGCACCTAAGCTGTGGTTGATCAATGAGTCACATTATGTATGTCATTGAAATGGTTTTAAATCTCATTATTTTATACAGCAGATACATTCAGCCTTTGAAGCTCAATGTGTTGTAAAAGCAGGGAATTGCCTAGATCTGTCTTAAGAGCCAGAGCACTGACAAGCAGTCTTCCGCGTTTGAATCTATTTGAATCTATTGACTATTGTATATGAACAAAACCATTGTTCTAATTTACATTTAACATACTTGCTGCACTTAAATTTGGAACTTGTCTTTTCAGACACAGATTTAGTGACGCAGATATAAGTGTGCCAGCCTGAGTTTGCAAGATTAAACTGTTGAACTTGGCATTGAGAAAACAGAGAAGAACCCCCAAGTTAGGCCAAATCAGTTTCCTATTGGCTGGTATAATATGGGTGAGATTTTACAGTCGCTTAGGCACACAAGATGAGAACAGTCAAGCTCAACACACATACTTGTACATATACTTTCTAAGAGTATATACACACTTCCAATTATGACCTCCAGCCTACGGGGTTTGGTCAAACTGCAAAGCCAACCGACTGGTGGCTCTTCGTTAATCCCAATCTTTCCTTCGGGCTCCATCATATACCTACACACCCGACTGCCTTTTCCTCCTTTTCATTCATATTTATAATTCATGTGGAATGAAGTGAATTGGGATCATTATATGCGCATGAATATTTGTTGGATGAAAGTTTAATTAAACCATCCCTCTTTGGCAGCGTGATGTCATCATAGCAGCTTCCCATTCACTGCATCCAACACAGCTTAATGGCCTGTGCCTTCTAAAGTGCTACTCTGTGCTCACCAGGCAGTCACAGCCCCACCTACATGCACAATCTTATTTTACACCCCTTGAGTTGATATTTGATAGAACCAATTGACAGGGATGGCATTTGAGTGGATTATATTGTTCCAGTTCCAATATGGGGATCAATCATGTTTAATTCAGTGGGGCAGCAGAGCCACTTTTGTGATGGATGTCATTTATTATTTAGGACCATGGCCTTATATATAGCCTATAGGCTCTGGTTTAGATGGCTGGCATATGGATCACAGATTTCCACAGAAATGTTAGGTTATACCAGGTACATTTCAGTTTTCTTTGAAAGATAATGAAATTACACTTTGTATATACTTTATTTATTAATGAAAAAAAATGCTATTGAAATTTAACAATGACCCAGTATTACAGTTATATGTAATGGATGTCACTGTTAATGGAAGGAGTAGTCAGCAATCAAAAATCCTGTTACTTTTTAAAGCTAACTATGCCATCACTGGTCACGGCATGAGTGAAAAGGGCAACTAATTTTTCACAGCACTGTATGCAAAGAACAGCTCATCACTGGCATGATGCCAAAATGTTTCACCACCCACTCAAGACAAATAGATTCAATAATCTAATGAAAGGTGCCCATGCACTTCTTTTCTGCACTGCTTTCCTTTTTTTTCCCTCACAACAAGCTTTTTAACCCAAATATCGTCATTGCATGTTAGTACTGCCCTGATATGCTGTGACTGCTTCCTTCTCACAAAACACACAAATGCACGGACACACACACATCCACACCCACAAACACGCACACACACATACAGAAGGTTTTTCTATCCTCAAAATGATTTTGTATTGACTTCCATTTATTTTTCATTCATTTCTGTAGTCTAGTCCTCATCCTTTCCCTAAACCTATCCATTACCATGCCTGACCATAAACCTAATCTAACTCCAAAACAGCGCTTATTCCTATGGGGTACAGGCTTTGGCTGCGATAAGACGTAGTTGGACCCCACAATGTAGTATGTGTTAGGAAAATGCTCCTTGCAATGTATCAAACACAGACAAATGCATATTGGGGAAAAGATCTACCCTGTTGCTACAGTGCTGCAGTGCTGAG